GATTCCTGAGCTGAGAACTGCCTTGTTACGTACAGTATGGGAAGGTCCTTTCACCTAAGTTGCAAAAACCCTAAAATATACATGGGCTATAAAACCAGCCCAGAATAGGACAGGCCTTTATGCCCAAATGAAATACACAGTTCTCTTATCCYGGGTGAATGCAGTCCATAAGAGTCACACTGTATTTTTTGCTCCTGCGGATGAATGTGTTTTCATCAGCAATGTACTGGGTTGTAAAATATGCATCCCCAGCTATCTACCGAGCTGAAGATTTCACGGAAAAGGCTTGGAGTTGTTTTCTAATGCAAATCATTCTGATCAGATAAATGACATGCAGTGTCTCCTGTAATTATCAGCAAGTTTTTGTAGTGCGTCTCCTGTTTCTCTCTAGGCCACATATTTGATGTTAGGAGACAGCCAAGCAGGTGTTTGACTCGCTCSTGCCCTCCAGAATTCCTTAAATGACCTCTGGAAGCAGTGGAGTGAAAACAGTCTCAGCATGTCAAAATTTTGAGGTATCTCAGTTGCTGTAATTCTTTTGAGGCTGCCTCAGTGTCTCTAAAATATAAATCTTTCGTGGTTATTTGCAATGAGTAARGAGTTGTGACGTACCGCATGCGGGTGTGCAGTTAAGATGTACGACCTCCCTGTGCAGCCCGGTGACTCCCTGCCTCGTAAGAGTTAATATTTCTTCTAAAAAATAATTATCTGCTTTAAGCTATTATAACTACCTGACCTCTTTCCCTGAATGTAAGTATTTCAACCATCTGCTGAGTCAGGCAATATAGCATTCTGTGCTTTCACGAGGCTGTGATGGTTGCTTAGACAACAGTGACATAATATTTAAGCATAATGGCTCTCGAGAAGATGCTGTCCCCTTCTCCCTGGATGACTTCTCTGGAAATGCAAATCCAATATGCTCTTAAAAAAACAAGAGAATGATGAGAAGGGTTTGTGTCACCATCTTTCTTAACCATCTCCCCATTTTCCCCTTGATAGGTGAAAGAATTGTACTTTGCTTAGAAGTCTTGTAAGACATGCTAAAATTATAGTCTGACTAGATAATCATTTTATAGAAGCAGTGAGAAAAGTGCTTCTTTCTGTAGTCAGTGCTCATTTTATGATTTAGGCAACATTGTGCTATCATTGGTCCATTGGACCACTGAGCATTGGTTTGTCAGTGTCCACCTGAGATAAATCTCATTCCTGAGCAGAGCTGAAATCTGTGCTGGTTGTTTTGTTATCTTGCTGTAGCAGGAAAAAATGGTAATTAGAGACTTAACCATGCAGTGGAGACCTCATAAATATATCACTTCAGAGCATAGCTAATACATGATGAGTTGATTTTTGTATAGATAGAGATACATATGCACTGTTTGCGATGTGGGTGGTTTTTCATGTTTACACAGRGATACAATTATGAATGACATGAAGGTTATACAGCAGATTTCTTTAATCTTCTAAAGGTTTGTTAGTCATGTGTCACCATGTACCTAGTTTTTATCTTTTCAACATCTGTATTCCTTTGTCATCTCATYGAAGGGGTTTCTCTGGAAGGGCTGCAGCAATAGATAGGAGTTGATACCTAATGGGTACAAGGGCTTCTCTGGCTGGATAAGCCTTGCAGGTCTCAATAGCAACTTTTGTTGTGACACAGGACTTAACCAAAAAGGTGAAAGACTCTTTTGTCACCTGCTGCTCAAAAAAAAACAATCAAAACCCCGTGGTGAGTTGGGGCTGAGCATTTGGTGAGGTTGCTTAAGGATGTGTGGAAGCTTGGCAAGGCATCTTGAAATTCCARAGCTTTTGAGATGGTTGGGTGACCTCTGTTTGGGTGGCATGGCTGAGGGACAGATGACCTCTTGCGTCAGCAAACTGCCAAGATGTGGGAAAGACAGTGCCTCTGGAGCTGCCCGTGGCTCGGGCTCCTCAGAAAGCAGGGGCTGGAGCCATCTGCACTGCCTTGCTGGGGACAATGTTTGTATGATAGGGTATTGAGGTAGAAATGTCCCTGGAGATGCTGCCTCACACTGGCGAGATCTGCATGGGCAGCGGCGCTTGGAGGAGGCCTGTGGCCTGGTCTGCACTATTTGAGGAATAGGGAAGGATGTGGACAATTCTGTCTGATTTGGATCAAAAATGAGCAGTGAGAGGGGGAGCAGGTCTGTCTGGTCCCAGTGTGTGACAGGCAGGGTGACCCAAGGCAGGCCCTGACATATTTTGGGTCATTTCTCCCTTTCCCGCCAGAACGGGAGCTGGGCCGCGGCTCTGTGGCGCTGCTGTGGTGATCCCTGGGGGTGCGTGAGGGGACAGGGATTTGGGGCCAGCCTGGTGCCCTTGGGGACCGGGATTTGGGACCCATCCTGGCACCCTTAGGGACATGGCTGCTGCAGGGGTGACCAGCTGTCCTTGGGGACAAAGCTGTTGTAGAGGTGGCTGGGTGGCCCTGTCAAGGGGCCATCAGCTGGCAGGGGGTGGGGGTCCAGCCCAGAGGCCTTGTCATGGTGCAGGGACAGCCTGGAATCTTTCTGTGTTTTATATTTGTAGTTTTATATTTATATTTGTAAACACAAAATAGCAGGGAGCTGGGCTGCTCCCTGGTGCTGTCCTGCACGCCCCTTTGCACCCTGTGGCTGTGTGTGGAGTCTTGGTGCCATTTTACAGAGGGCTGAGGGGGGCACAGAGCCATATTTTCACAGTGTCTTTCCCTGGCCCCTCATGTCARTGTGGGGATGCTGGACACCCCATCTTCATGGCCAGACATGCTGCTGCCACAGAAAACTCAAGGCTGGGTTGTGCTTTCCCGGGCACCCCTAAAAAAAGTTCCCCCTGCTCCTGTCTCTGCAGTCCCCCTCCATGGCAGCCTGGGCAGAGCACGCCGGTATTGCTTCACCCTTGGTACAGTAGGGCTTTTTTGCTGTTGGGTTTTTTTTTTTAATTCCTTTTTTTTTTTCCCTCCTGTGTACACATCATGTGCGTGTGTGTGAAGGTTGTATTCTCAAAAACAAGTTTATTCATTGATGATGTAATAGCGATTGTACTTTTCTTTTGGTTAATAAATTGTCTGCTCAGCTTACTTTGTATGCCAGCCAAAATTAGTCATACCAGTTCTTGGAAAGGATATGAAGAAACTAGTAATTGAAATCATAATCATTTGATCATGAGAGCTATTTGGAAAATAATATTTTAACCGGAATTGTGTCAAATCTCCAAGTCAGGTTTTTGTTGGTTTTTTTTTTTTTTATTTAAAAGGCTGCTAAATAGATTTMTCTGGTGTGGAATATTAGAAATTGTATAGTAGCCAGTGATGGTATTCAACACCCTAAAAGAGGACTTCATCCAGAAATTGCTGAGACTGTCTGTAGGCAGGCTGATATTTATATATATGTATGATTTTTTTCCATCCTGACATTTAATAATCACCAAGTAATAGCTATAAAATGCATAGCAACTACAGCTTTTTTATTTCAAGTGGATGGTGTAATGAAATTGGGTGAAACCATCCATTGAAAYTGTACTTTGTAGTACCCAGTGCTTGTTTACAAAGTATTGACGTTTGTCATAAACAGAGATTTAAAGCATCACTGATATTGTTTGTTGTTTGGTGGAGGCTCTTATGCTGTGCAGCGATAAAGGAAAAGATTTTATTACAAGCTTGCTTAGCATATAAGCATGCTGTTCACTTCTGACCAAATATTTGTTATTGCACTAAATGTAATGAAGGTGCCTGCTTATAAAACAGTTTTGTATTATATAACGAAAAGTGGAAGATCGGATCTGTTTTTTTACTAGAAATACTTCAGGTTTTGTGTTGTGTGCAACTTGTCACAATAAAGCTTCTTTTTTTTTTCCATTGAGCAGTATTTTATTTCCTGAGGAATGTGTTCAGTGGACAAAAAAAACACACAGAGAGAATCAATTGTGCTTTTCCCTTTGTTTAATAACTCAGAGAATTTCTCTCCCCTTTGCAAATACTTGTGTTTATTTGAGAGAAAACTTGGATTTTGCTTTATTTGTTTCAAGAACCTGTAACCCTTTTYAGTGCTAGAAATGTGTAATGTGCAAGGTGTGGTGTACAGCCAGCTCTTGTTACGACATAAATTACTTCTGCTGTTTTAACCAAAAAATCTGGAGTGAATCTTGCTGGATATGKATGTTTGTTTGTTTATTTTTTGAGGCCTTCTTGATCCCTTGCTCACTGGAGTCAGCTGTAAAACATTCTGCTTATTCATCATGACTGAGAGGAGTTGATTGTTTCCTGGAAGGTTAAAATCCAGCAATTAGGGCTGTTTAATTTGAGTGTATGTTCTGGAGGCTAAACTAAGTTTAAGTGCTTTTCTTAGAATGTATGTTTTAGAAGGGAAAAAAATTACAGTTCTGATCTTGAAAAAGGTTTTAAGAAACATGAGAAAGTACAAGTTTCTTTTGGTGGGAAGCACATAACATTTATGTAGTATTTCTTTTGGGATTACATCACAGTTTTATTTAATTTTAAGGACAAAAGTTAAATTCAATATTTGTCTATAAGCCAAGGGAAAATGTACCATAAACATAGGAATTTTCTGGTGAGTCAGAGTTCCAAGAATCTGAGATTTACTTAGTCCATTTATTTCAGGACTAGCTATAACCATTAGTCATTCAGCCATGAATTTTTACATTTGCAGCTAATTGCACCTAAAAAACAAACTTTCCCTCAAGGCTTTGGGTTATATAGRATGTGATTTGGCAACCTGCATTTCAAATCCCTTTTAGGATCATTGCCCTGGTCCTAGAAATTGTSTTTAGATCGTGTATATTTGCTTCAAGTAAACAACTAATATTTCCTCTTAGGTGGCAAGATGAATAAATTAAGTGCTAGCTATTCTGTGATACAGAAAAATTGCTCAGCCTGCAGCAAGATAGGCTTTTCCAGGAGTGAGTGCAGGGTGATGTTAGTGGTTTCTCAGTCACCGGGGAGCCCAGAGTGACRTGTTGTATTCTCATCTGATCACTTCTTGTAGGATGAAGTTATTGCTGTTTCAGAAAAAGTTACTGTGAAGCTTGAGGACTTGGCAAAATGGGCACAGTCCGATTTCTCCAAGTGGAAGTGTGGTTTCCGGGCTGAGCCGGTCCAGCCCATGGATGTGGSGAAGAATGGGCAGAAAGAGGCCTTGACAAGATACAGACAATCCACACTGAACAGTGGCTTGAACTTCAAAGATATCCTGAAGGAAAAGGCTGACCTTGGTGAGTATCTCGTACTTTCTCTTCTGGGAAGGGGCCTGTGAGTGAGTGTCTTGAGGGTAGATGAGCCTGGTCCTGCCACACCATTGCAGATTCCCAAGGTATGTGTGAGCCTGGGGTGGAGGTGTGGTAATGAGAGAGATGACTGCGTGGGATGGGTGGTGATGGTGAGCTCATCTCCAGCTCCTTGGAGCCTGGTGTGGGGTAATTCTGATACCTGTCTACATGGCCCAGAGCTCTACAGCCCTGAAGATGTGCATACAGACAATTGTCACAGGCTCTCCCTGGGGCTCTGCAGGCTGGGGGATCAGGTCAGAGCTGTGTGCTGTGGGGAGAGCAGGCTGACTTGACTTCCTGAGGCCTCCTGTCACAGGCAGGGATGAGCAAAGGCCTCTCACTTCTCATGTTCCATCTTCCAGAAGCTCAGAGATGCTCCTGATGCTTGCCCTGACTTCATACAGTTGGCTCTGTGTCTCATTCCACAGGGATGTGTCCCTTCTTTGGTGTTKCCTTGTCAGCTTTATGTTGCTGTAGCACAGTGGGGCTCTGCAAGCACCCCACTGTTGTCTCCACACTGACATGCGTGYTCTTTCCCTGTTGGTTTTCAGAAAGGGAGTTGGTAGCTCTGCTGCTTTGGGTGGTTGCTGACAGGCTTGCAGCTGTGGGGCTGCCATGGTGTGCAGGCACTCACACCTCTAAAACCTGCAGTAGGTTCCCAGGTCCAGTGGAGGATGGGTGTCCTGTTGGTACACATGCTGTCTGTGGTGTTAGGACCTTGGATGTGCAACACTTGTCAGAGATGACACTTTCAAGTGCATACCAGGGACATTTCTCTCTTCCGAGTTTTTAATACATGTTCCACATTTGAAGAGCATCAAGATTAGGACATAATGTGTGAAAAAGTAAGAAGGTAAAAGCTAAGCCTGATGCATTTGAGGAAATGCTTTTGTGTCTACATGAACAGGAGGGCAGGGCCAAGTTTGGTTATATGACTGGGTTGGCATCAAAGCCAAGATACATGAAGCTGAAGATCTGTCTTGGGGGATTTATCTTCTGCATCTGATTTTTCTGATSTTATCAAATGGTGAAGTGATTTTGTCAATCTCACATTTTACCATTAGATATGTAGGTTGGAATTTTAAAGTACAATTGGAAGTTGATGTTATTTTTCATTGCATGTCCAGGGAAAAAAATAATCCATGCAATTCTTTTCCTTTGCTTTTCTCTGTGGTTTCTTCTGGTTCATAATTACATAGAGTAATTTTCTCTGCTATTGCCCTGGTATCTTCTCTACGCACTACATTTATTTGCATTTGTTTGTTGTGTCAGAAGAATCTTAATGTTTTTCAGACAGAACTTTTGTGTGCTAATGTTTTCTTGTTTTTGTTTTCAACAAACAAAAAAACCCTTGTGRTAAGTTGCGAAATTGCTATTATCTACCCTAGGAGCCAAAGAAAATTATCTTTAAGCCTAAAGCTTATAGTTGCATGTTAAGCCTTTCAAAGTAGGGGTTATAYTGAAAGCACTCATGGAATGCAAACTATATGGTATAATTTTGATAACCCCACATTCTGATGTTGCTCATTTTCAGTTGGTGGCTCTGGCTTTCTTGTTGGGTTGGGGATTTTTTCAGTAGCAAAGGGAATTTTGACTAATGTTTGATTATGACTGCCTTTATCTTCATAATGACTGGTCRACAGGAGTGAAACCAAAGGTTCACAAAGACCTATAGCTGCTTAGATACATTGTTACAGACAATTGATCCAGCCTATTAAGGGAATCAAAGAAACTTCCTAAATCTAGTACTGAGCTGATGTTTGGAAGAGCCAAGAATTTAAGCCTATATTGCTTCCTGGATCTGACAAAAACTCAGTAGAGTGATCTTTGAAACTTGTGAAGCAGTTGGTGTCCTGTAGGCWGCCCATGAGCTCTGGTGTTTGTCGCAACGATGGCGTGGAGGTTTGGCACCCATGAGACAATTGCTTCTCTCGTTCTGAGTGGTTGGTCAGGGTTGACATTGCTCTGGCAGTTTCATGTCCCTGGCTGGAGCCAAAGGCAGGAGCATGACGTGTGGTGTGCAAGGCATTCGAGCCGCTGGTGTTGTCTCTTTGCTGTCAAATGGCAGCTTTACGGCCTCTTAGGACGTGTGCCCACAGAGCTTCTCCAATCTTGCCAACAGAGCAACGCTTGGCTGCAGTGATCAAAAGATTTATTAGCAATAACTTCTGCAGCAGGTCTCTAGCACAATGGGTTGGGGTAGTTTTTTCCTCTTAAAATAGGGTTGTGTACTGTGAAAGGAGCACAGTGCACTGTCACGCAAAGGTCCCTCTGGTGATGCTTGTGCTTAACTCTGGCTGTAGATGAGGAAGTTGCTGWACCAGGTGTTGAAAAGTCCTAGATAAACAATGTGATCTCCTGGACCCCYTTTTTCCTGTGAAACAGCATGTTTCCATTACAGAAAAATCCCATAAAAGTGAGTAGATTGTGCAGCTTTTCYTACTAGATGTTTTTGAATCAAGCTCTAGAAGGTAATAGGAAATTATATCCTTACCAAAGAGCTCAAAAAAGCTCAAAGAAGAAATAAAATCAGTTTTCACACACTATCCAGGAGTGGTGAGGAGTGAAATAACCTGGATGAAATGAAAACATGGCTGATACAGAACCAGAGAAGCATCACTGTGCAAACATACTTAATTAAGCACATGGCTGCTGGGAGCAGGACAGCTTCAAACAACAACCAGGCAAAGTGAGGCTTCATGTGAGCAGTGCATACCCTGTGCCATGTGTTCTGTGGCACTTGCTTAGCCAAAATGAAGGCAACACCTGGTTAATCCACAACCTGTAGAAACCATGAACCTATTATAATTGAAAGTTGACCCTAATTCAAATGAGGTAGTTCTGTCTCCTTTTTTTTGTTCTCTTTCTTCTCTTTTGTTCTCTTCCCCTTCTTTTCTTTTCTCTCTTTGCTTTCCTTTCCTGCAGAAACTGTTGGGTTTTTTTTTTGTTTTTTTTTTTCCTGTAAAATGCTGTTGTTTTTATCACTAGTGAATTATGCAGAACTTTTCCTTAGGACTGTATTAAATAAAAGATCTTGCAATAGCATTTTTTTTGTGTGAGCTTCAAGATTTCAGCCTGAAAAATTATTTTTAAGAATTATTTCTTTCTGCCTGTTGAGATATTTATGTTATACATTCTGTCCCTTTCTACAAATATGTCAATATTGAATGCTAGCAGTTTATGTCTTRAGACTATTTATAGCTTTCTGAATATTTCTTTCAAATGTTGAGGAAAAATAAAGAATAACAACAATGCAGCATATAAAAATAGAGTTGCTCAGGAATGTATTATTCATAATGAACATGAGAACCTGTTTTTCCAGAAGAATTGGTCTGATAAAATCATTCACTACTGAGGCTGCTAGTTATTTATTTTTGTCTTCAGAATTATTTAGGGGATTTTTCTTTGTAATAAATGGACTTGTATACCCATATTTGGTAAACCARTGGGAAGTCACCAAATGAGGAATTATTTCATTTTACAAAATGTTTAGCAGCTAAGCAATGTAAACACTATTGGTTAAATATGGGAAAGTTGCATATTTGTATTCCTTGGGCTATAGTTCGAAAAAAATTCAAATTATTTTATATAACATTGCTTCTTACAGACTTCCTTTAACTGAAGTATGAAAGCTGCAGTGTAAGCTTTATTGGCCTATAAATATGTCATTATAGTTGGACTACATTTATATGCTTTGGATTGTTGTTTAAGCCAAGAAAATATGTCTCTACAGGTTGACTTTTTATTGAAACCCTTTGAGGCATACAACAGAATGTATTTTAGGCCAAGGTTATTAAAACAGCATTTTCATTTTTGCAGCAGACTCATTGTCAATTATGCTGCCACAAACTGTCTGTGGATAGGCAGTTATGAATGGTTTCATCTCTAAATGTGTCTTTAGAAAAAGRAATAAAAGATAGAGGAGTCAGAGCTGAAATTGAGAGAGAAGACTGAGGGAAAARTGACTGAATTTAGTGCTCACTGGCTCTGTTGGTTTGGGTTAGGCTGGGCTGCAGTGCTGTCTAGGTTTAGCCAGGGAACAAATGGCCACTGTGCCTGTGCTGTGCCAGAGAGGTTGGAGTTGCTACCACAGCCTGGCAGTCTGCAATCCTCGGGCTCTGCCATGACAGAGGTCTGGGTTTGGTCCCCAGGCTGGCACTGCTGCTCTTTTTATTTGTCCTCTGTGAGGACAAATGGATGCTGAAATGGATGGTTGAGGTTGCTGTGAACGGGGCACTCCTGTTCCTGCAGTGGCAGTGYTAGTAATGTGATGAGCAAGTTCTGGTGAGCTGAAGGGATTTTGCTGCACTTATTTCTTGTTTGTTGGGGTCCAGTGAGGGGAAACCCAAAGAAAATTTAGCAGTCAGTCCTGTCCTGTCTTTTTATTACCCACAGTCATGCACTTGAGGGTATAGAATCTGGATCTTGTTCCTGTAGAACCCAGGGAAATCAACCTCTGCTTCTAGCTGAGGTGTATATTGTAGCAGTCACTCTTTTCTAGTCTGTAGGTGGYTCTCCAGGAGTTGTTTCCTTCTGTTGAAGTAGCTCCTTTGAACTCTCCAGGCAGAGCTTGTTGGGCAGGGTTGGAGCTGCAGGACTGGGGCACCCTCTCATTTTATTGTCTTTACCAGTCTCATAATTTGCATATCTTTACTTGCAAGATTGCAGATCCTCACTGGATCCTGTGCTGCCATACAAATTGGCCGATCCACAGCAGATTGCAATGAGTTTGGAAGRACAGGAAGAGCAGGGATGGGCTGTCTTGCAGGGAGGTGCCAACCCCATGGTCACCCCCATATGATGGGCACTGGACTGTTGCATGGCCCTTCCARTTTCACTTGCCAGTGGCCTTGCAGCAGGCATGACTTCTCCAGGTGAGGATAATCAAGTCATAATGTAGTCAAACGATGACATTATCAAAACTGATAATCTGCAGCTGTAGAGTG